GAAATTGGGATCTGCCTCTGTGTATCTTCCTGTGTGATAAAATGTAGGTAAAGTTTTCACACTTCTAAAAGCTGTATCAAGGTTCTATGACCCAATGCAAGTCTAGGATTTTACCTGTCTCATAGAATAGCCTCTGGCAAGAGAGTATAGAGGGTATAGATTGGCTAACAGATGAAGGGCACATGTAGAGGGAAAGGATGAAAAGATCCTTCCTTCCACAGAAGGAGCAGAGACCTGCAGAGGTCAATCTGCACCAAAAGACAATCTAACACGTAAAGTTTCTCTGAGCTTCTTCATGATTGTCTCAAGAATCTGAAGGCTGCTGAGGTTGCGTGAGAAAGTCAGTTCCTTCAGTTTCTTCAAACTATGGTACTCTTTCATAGAAGAATTTAATTTATCCTGACTTCCCAAAAATAGCACTGCAGAACATCAAAGAGAGATGAGGTTTATTCTGTTTTTAATGATAGTCTACTTGGATTCGCATCATGAGTCCACCTGGTAAGGTAAGGCATGGTTACTGCATCACTTCTTCAATCATTGCATGCTCCTTCCTTTCTAGGCTGGTAAAACATGGTGTCAAACACGGGGGACTTCAGAAGAGCACGTGATCAAAGCCTTTCTTCCTACATCCTGGCGTTATTTCTAATGCATTTTTCTTTTGTGAGCAACCTATTACATCTGAGCGTGTGTAGATTTGCTTAATTATTGATGCCTTCTGCGTGTCTTTAGCTGATGTAGAGGTATTTTTGCAGATAGGATGTTTTTGCTGACTTACTGTCTATCCCTCCTTGTTACTGGCACTTACTGAAATCAGCATGTAAGGTTACACTGCAGATTTTGTGAAGTACTTCTGATACCATGGAAGACATTTACACAATGACAAAGCTTTGAAATGAAACACTGCTGTTGGCTGTTTTTGTGAGTAGGCCTGCAGTCAAATGAGGGGTAGAACCAAAACAAATCTTATGGACTAGTGACAACAAACAACATGTCTGAATCTGTCTCTGCAACTATTTTTGCAGCCCTTTTCTGGCTTGATCTCATCTCTTAATTGTAAACCTGTTCATGGTAACCTTTTGTAAGAAGAAAAGTTGAAATCTGAATGAAGCTGAAAAAAATGAGTATTTCTTAATGAGCTTGAAAGGTTTTTATGGAGATAGAGTGAATGATGTCAGTGTGCTTTTCTGGTGAAGCTGGTTATTTTTTTAGTCCAGTCGTTCTCAGCAGTGTGTCTCTGAAGAGAGCTTCCATTTTGAGGTATGCAATACGCATGTAATTGAGTTTTTTAGAAAACTTACTAGTTCATTATGCAGAACCATATTAATTTAGTTACCATAGTATAACTGTGTTACCAGAATTTCCCAGTTGTCATAAGGGGTAGGCCTTTCTGCTGCCATTTTCTGTTGCATATTTTCATCCAGGTTCTATGCTTCAAGGCCTTGTGGTACTATTTGTAGAAGTGGTTAATAATAGCTAAGGAGATTGTTCTTACATGATGAAACTTCAAGGAGAGACAGGCATGAGAAATAATGAAGGACATCACAACAGGGTCAATTGAGCATCAGTCATAAACTGGAGAAAAGTTATGCAATGTACAGCTTATGAAAATAAATCAGAGAAAAAATAGAAGGGGGGAAAAGTGTATTTACTGGCGGCAGGTGATGATCCAAATTAAGCAGCACAAAGGAGGCAAAAGAATGTGCGCTGTACTGACTTGTGAAGTACTGAACTCTTACTGTTCAGGGCTGTCTTAGTGACCTCTTCTGTAAACCAAGTAGTTGTTAACTGCAAATGCATATTGGAAGAAAGTGCAATGGATTTATTTTAAAGCTTAAAGGCTTCCACAGATGGATCATGATACAGTACAAGCAGCCACAGTGCCAGTTACAGATTTAGATGCTAAATTGCTTTAAAAATTATTCCTTATAGTTGCTTTAGTATCATTGTGCCTTAGGTACCACTGAGATTAGATTAAATATGGCAATATTCCTTACCCATTTAATCTGCTAAATGACAGCTGTTAATGTTATTACATGCGTTCATGAACTTACTAGTTAAGGCCGTCGGAAACTTGAAGCAGCCACTGATGTTCTCATGGTCTTTCTTAAATCTTGATAAGAAACTATGAATGAGCAGGATAGGCACTTGCTTGGCAAATATGCAAGAAATAGGTTGATACAGTGGAAAATTATACCGGTGACAAAAGTTAAGACAGTCTTTCAAGAAAGATCAGTGCTAAACCTTTGCATAGCCAATGCATCAGTGCTGTTAGAGGTACCATTCATGGTTCTGAAACAGAGATATGCGTTTGTTGGGTAGAAAATATCCCCACGTAATTAAATAATGACATTGTACAAATGGTAATTAAATAATTATATTTTGCCAAGATGCTTGAAGACTACTACAATTACAGTTGGATACAATAGCCTTAATTTCCTTTCTTTCACAACTTAAGAATGCTGTTGTTAATTAAGTGGTTGTCCTTTACTACCCTGGAAATAATTGCATTCTTATGGTGGGCAGAACGATTCCTGTGCTGTTATTAGCTGTTATCAAATGATGCTATAAATGTGCATAATTATGGTGATAATCAATAATATCCTTTCCTGAATTCCTTACGGTCTGATCAGTTTTTTTATCACATTGTTCTTTGAGTACCAGTTGTGTGAGTTGCCTTATGAAAACTGGCAGAGACAAATGTATATTGAGAAATAACTAACAAAGTAAGCGTAGGTTATAAATAGATAACAAATGAAGGAAGTGAGAGGAAGGAAAGGGATGCACTGGTACACTGCAGCAGTTGAGATCAGTGAAAGGAAATGTGTAACTTTTCATGGGATAGGGTCTGTCTTTTCTTCTTGCTTCTAACACATTGCTTGTCTACAGTTCCTTATTAATAATAAGGGATAGATGTTGTCTGTTTGCTGCTTGGTTGTACACCTTCTGAAGAAAGCAAGTATTTAATTTGCCACTAATTAACACAAACATTTCATTACTAACTTGGGTATTAGGAAACAAAGGCAAGATGGGGCATCTCCTACTCTCCTGACTTTGGTCTTCTCTCGTTTCCTTGTTTCCTCTGTTGTTCTCTTTGCTGCTCTCTTGTACACTTGTTCCCTCTTCCTGGTCATTTTCTGCCCTTTCTTAAATATTTTTTCACAGAAGTGCCACCAATTTCACTGGTGGGCTCAGCTTTGGCCAGCAGTGAGTCTGTTGGGGAAGTGGCACGTATCCCACAGAGGCCACTCCTGCAGTCCCTCTGCTACCCAAACCTTGCTGTTTGTACCCAATCCACTGGAAAAGGCTATTGAAACCTCTGTGTGTGTGTTTCATTGCAAAGGCAGTGTTAATGCAGGTTCATTCAAGCTGCAATTACTAATAAATTATCTTTTATTGCTAGGAGAGAATTGGTTTCACCTCATGTACAAGCTGGATTTCATTGGTGTCTGCTGATTTGATGTCTCTGACTTATTCTGTATAATGTGCAATAGAGAGAGGAGAGTGAATCTCCGTCTTGGAGGCTGTGGTCAGTGAGATCAGATGGAGCAGGAGATTTTATGTTACTATTAATTGCATAACTGGTAAACATGATCCAGAAAGTATGATCTAAAGATGCACAGATGCTTGTGGAAAACAAGCTGTGAGGTTTTTTGACTCAGGTAAGCAGTGTGTGACCAACCCGTGCCATGACCAGTCAGGCTTCTGGAAGGAGACTGCCTCAGCCCAGGTGTACAGCCAGCTGAAGTCTATGTGATTGATTTCTGGTGCCAGATGGCAAAGTGTCAGTCTGCCAAGTGTTAATACCAGCCTCATGTCTGTGTACAGTGCTGCTCTCTTCATGGTGTGAAAAGTTAATGTAGAGGAGACCCCGTGTTAGTATTTGCAGCAATGTGCTGTAGATGGTGAGCTTTCTTCCCACAGGAAAATTGGAACTGTTTAGTAATAACTGAGCAGATAAATGTGCCTACCTTAGTATTGCTTCAGGCAGCGCTACTTACTGCCTCACCTTTGAGCCTTGGCTTCTCATGATCATTCTGCAATTGTCGAAGCAAGTAGTAAGAAGAACCTGCTGTGAGATTGCAGGCCAAGATCTGTTTTCAGAGACTAAGGCGTCAAATACACTTGTTGACTAGTTGAAAGGCAGCTAGTGGTCTTATAATAGTTGTTATTTCTTGTGAGAGACTGCCTGAATAATGCTGCTTCCCCCAAGGGTTTTCAGCCAAACAAAGGGAAGAAAGACTTTGTCATAAGAGATGTGCGCTTAATTCCAATGATTGGAACTGTAATTGAAAGTTCTTGCTAATGCTTTTTTCCTGTACAACAACTATTGAAATAACATATTTGCTTAGTATACAAAAAATGGCTGCATTTGGCAAGTGGCTTATTAGAGCTTGTAAACTAAATTCACAGATATCCATTGCTGGAAAATCTTAGTCTTGCAGATACAACCTGGATCTCACTGAGTGCTTTTTCAGTCAGAAAACACCAAGAGTTTTGTAGATCACTTTAGGAAATACTCTTGCCAGCAAAATCATTACATAAAATTCAGTAGATGCCTGTGTGAGTGTGATTCTGTGAAGGCAGTTCTTTCTGGGATGGCTCTTCATCCATGGAGAATTATACTTGGAACTGCCCATAGTTACAAATGTATATGCATGGACTATTCTTACCGTGAGTCCTATTTTTATTCAGATGTCTTCATGCATTGGTCTGCTGTTTGCATGTGGGTGGATCCTACAGTCTTCTACCATAGGTGTAATAATAAATATAAAAATTAAAACCTTCAGGGAAAGTGTGCGTGATCTGGAGAAATCCAGATTAATGTAATATGCAACTGGTTGAACAAATATTTGCATAGTTTTCTTGATTACTATGAAAGTACATGTTCTTGAGAAGTGTGTAGCAACACTAATTTCTTGTAGCCAGGATCAGGAACGTACCTGATCTAAATATCTGTTATGATGTGAAGATACTTTGTGAGATTCTTTGTGTAAATTCAGGTTGGTTTTGTGGAGATCACATAGTTGTCAAACAACTGATAGAGATACCTGTGACTTTCCCCATTGTGGTGATTTTTGGACTGGTATTTAAAAACTATTGTGCCTTTCTCAGGTTCGGACCTTCTAAAATGATCTGAGTTTATCAAGCTTTTTTCATTTCCATTTCAGAGCTGTATGCAAACTCATAAGCTTCACTCTATCACATTTGTCTGTGTGGTATCAGGGCCTGTAAGAGTAGTTTCCTTGTTTGGCTGAAAGCTTAGCATGTCTTTCATCTTTGAAGAACTGGAGCCGATTCCAGGATTCAGGCTGGGAGGCAGTACTTTGACAAGTGAAGAAACACTATGTGTTTACAGAGGTTGGGATGTAATGCAGGGAAACAAGTGTCACCAGTTTACTGTCGGTATTGTCAGGGCAAAAAGGAAAACATCTTGAATGAATCAAACAACTTAATCTTCTCAATTTGTGTTTTTTGCATTTTGAGTTCTTTTTTGTAAGCGATCAAAGAACGTGCTTCCTGGCACTCTTTGGGAGTCATGATTCTGGTGGTATGTACTCTTAGTACAGAAACTGTTCTCTGTACGTGTTCCCATGCAGCTAGCTTAAGCCAGATGTCAGCTCTGAGGAGGACTTTGGGCACAGTTGAAGTTTCTGCCTATTTGACACATTTGAAGACTTTCCAAAGATTCACTTTTATTTTTGTAAGTCTCTCTGTGACCAAACAGTTATGGTTTGTGAGCACAGCTCTTCAGAAATGAGAGTGTTTATTTAGTAGGTTAGTTGTTAATGGCTATGGAGACCATTTGTAAATAATTAGGACTTTCAGAAAATGAGGACTCCTTTTCTTTGTGAGTCACTAGTTTATGATGACAAATCGAGGTCGAGTAAGGCATTTGGTATTTCCTTATTAGTGTACTGTATATCATAAAGTGTTTACGGGGGGGGTTCTCTGGGTTAGGTATGGTCATCTGAGTAGAGAATGAAGGGCTGGTTGGAGGGGTGAGACAGTGCTGTTACAGAGAGCCTTACAAATCACCTTGAACAGACGTCTTGAGCAACTAAACATTGAGAACGAATGCTGTGATTTCATTGTACTGAAACTCTTCTTAAAAAGGTTCTAGGAATATCATTTCCCATCTTCTCTATTTGTTATAGCATCCAAAGATGTGGCCTGGTGGAACAAAAGCATTTTATAATAACACAAATACCATAAAGCAATAATCCCAGTACCATCATTGCACACACTTAAATATGGACTACAAATTAAAATAGGCTGGACTGGTGAACTGCACCATAAAATTATTGTGTGACTGAAACTGGTTTGCTATTTAAACATGGATGCCAAGTGCAGCAAATTTTTTCTCTCTGTTGAATATGTAGTTTCAAAGAACTTATTTTACACACAGACTTCAGCAGCCATTTTGTGTGTTCTGTACAGACCCTTCTCTTCCTTTGTCTTTGTTTTTCCCCTTCATAACGTTAATCTTTTTCTAGCGAGATAATTCAGGCTGAAATAAAGTAGTTCATCTTTGTATATAAAAACAACGTAACATTCTTGTTGTCTGATGGGAATCCTTTGGAAATTTAATGCATTTAGATTTATCAGTCCCGGCCTTTAGTCTGATTGTGATGAAAAAGAATTGCTTCTGACTGACTGTATTTTGAATATTAAATTTTGAGCCTTAGGTGCTAATAGTTGCACTGCCACAAGAGGTATGGGAGGGCATGTTATGTGAAGATTTAAAGGCTGCTGTAAGTTGGTAGCATGTGCTGTTCTGTGTGGTGTCCTTCCAAAAGTTATGCTTTTTACAGTGACGTGCCCTAGAGCCTGTTGGAATGAAAGTCTAAACGTTTTTCTCTTTGTCTTTTGTAGAAATGCTTACCTGAGCGATCGCTTACCACTGGACAGGCCCCTGCCTGACCTCAGACCTAACGGGTAAGTGCTGTAGTTTAATCTAGCATTGTAGGTCCTGAGTAGTAGAGTCTGTTAGCTGTTTTTCACGAGGGAGTCTGGGGTTGTGTGATCACATAGAGGGTAGGTTACATACGTTGGCCAGAAGGAGTAATTTCTATCAAATAGATGAAGGTTGGAAGTTTCAAATGTCAACTGAAACACTGAGTGCCCAGAGTAAGTCCTATTGAAATCCCACAAAGTCCATTAAAAGTTCCCTAAGATTCTTGACCTTAATGTCAGCTACAATTTACATTAGATAGCAGGTGTTTTACTGCTAAAGAATAACCTTTTTATATTAAATTTCAGTTTTATCAAAAGATCTGACTAAGACAGGAAGAAAATAAGAACTCCTCATTTTGAAAGCCCAAAATTGTCTGATAAAGATCAGTAAGCAGGTGAAACTGTTGAGCTCTAGTGGCAAAATACACAATTTAGTTAAGCAGTGTGTACCAGATGAAAGCCTGTGGAGCCTCGTTTACTGGACTGTTCTGTGCTGGGAAGCATGCATGTCAGGCAGGGTAAGTGCTTCCACTGTTATTCCACAATGGCTTGGTGAGACGGATAGGACCAAGGGAGTGAGCAACCTTCCTTTGAGGTCTGTTCTGGTAGGACTGTTCACAGAGACAGTTAATGCTCAGCTTTTTTTCATTCTTGGTGATCCATCTGATCCTTTGAACAAACAGATTTGGGGATGGGGAAATAGGTGGAGTGAAAACTGCTTTTTTGCAGCTCATTAAAAATAATAAATCTTTAAAATTAACATAATCGGTACTTACTGAATTGAAGCAGTAACCAAGATGTGAAAGGCTTCTTAGTTCCTTGCCAATTCCAAAAGCAATCCAGAAGTGATCTTATTCGCTTACTTTAACTGAATATTTTAATAACTAAAGCAGTAAGCAGTACATTTTACCTTGTATAAAGTTGTCTAAGTGAAAAGATATGAACACTCTTCCAGGCAACAGTTTAGCTATTTTAAATATATTTATGCTGTATATTATTATTATGTATCATGTCTTAGAAATATTTATGTTGTGGATTTGCTGAAATAATGACTTTAAGGAAATCAAAGTCCATACAATTATAGTTGTATTTTGGTTTTATTTTAGCACTGTCTGTAGGGACAGTCTTTTTTTTTTAAATTGTAAACTGATTTAGAGGAAAAAGAAATCTTCTGTAACTAACAAGACATCAATGACAGAAATGTGTCTGTTCTTATATCTCTTTTGAAATGACTCTCCTGAATGACTTCAATCTAAATTTTTTACAACTATGAGTTTTAAAAATTAAAAAGACAGAGAAAATGGATGTTACTGTAGCTGAAAGAAATAAATTAGGGTTGGGATTTTAAAAGAAACTCCAGTTAGAAACAAATCAGGATCCTAACTTCAGTGAAGTTTTCGATCCTTAGTTAACTATCTGCCAGAAACATGTTAGACATTACAATATGTTTATGGATGCATACATTTAAGATAAAGGCTTAGTAATGGTAGCTCAGGGAGATTTCCCCACCACACCGTCCCCCTTCGTCATGGTTCAGGAGCAAGTAGGTAACCTTAAACAGAAATGTAGTAAATTCTGTTACTGAGGGAAACGAAGAGTATTGTCGAGCAGTACGTACACTGTTTGCTGTGTATACAGCACCCTGTGGAGTACAGAGGTATAGGGTATTCTGAAAATCATGTCGCTGAAAAAAGAATTCCCTCTGCTGATAGGCAAATTCTCATTTGTGTGAGAGCACACACATGGCTATTGTGGGGGAAAAGCCCTACCCTGCAAGAGTATGTTTTCCACTATAATAATAAATTTTTAGGATTTGTAGCACCTATTTTTAAAGCCAATTGCATTAGTCATTTCCAGAGTCTATATAGGTGTATTTAAATTATCTATGGGCAGATACTAGACTCAAGCAGCATAGCATGAAAGCCAAGGACAGCTTGGTCTGAGGAGAACACACAGCAAGTTGCATGAAGACCGAGTTAATCAACTTAGTCGGTTGTGGTATTCCTGTTCTGACTTGAAACGCAAGAAAGCACAGATATAGCAGAGGTACCACAGTAGCTCTGGATGGAGTTAGCCTAGGTTTATCCCACGCTCATTAGCCTGGATTTAGCAGTGGTTCTGCAAGAATCAGTGTGACATTGGAATCCCAGCAAAGGCTTGTGAGCAGATAGCTAAAGGAGTGGAGTTCATATAGATATGTCTGGGCGCAGTTGTGGTCTGTCATCTGTTTTCGTAACCTATCATATGAAGTGTAGGAAGTTGGAAAGATAACAGAAATAGATGTATAACTGAAGTCTAATGAAATTCATGTATGTTTGGCCTCAGTTGAGACTGAGAGAATTGAGTGATCTGCCAAGAATATGTGGTAATAGTAGCCCCTTTTGTATGAAACTGGCATGACTCAGCCTTGACCTTCTTTCTGCCTGCAGTGCTCTGAGTATTCACACCAAGATAACTTAGCAGAGGAGCTCAGCATTTCTTTGCAAGGTTCTGCAGCAAGAAAGGCCAATCCACATATGTAGTAACCCTGTATTATAGCACAGATTATTTTCTAGGGTTGATATTGTCAGCATTTAATTGTCCTCTGGTTTTCTCATGGCATTAGAGATTTCAGAGCCACAACACATGTGGAGGAGAGGGCAAATATTCAACCTTGCCGAGTCCTCTGATGTGGGTGGCATGCAGAGGTGGGAGACCACATTTAGTGGTTAGGGTAGTGCTCTCTGCCCAAGCCCCTAAACTTTGGCTTCACTGGAAAAAAAATGACCATTGCTCAGATGGAAACATTCAGCAAATTGCGGCTGGGTCAGGCTGTGGCAGTTGTCACAGATTGCAATGGGACCTTCTTGTGTTTTACGTGATGCAGAGTGGTTTCTAACCCTCTGGACAGCTATGAGCCTCATGTCTTGTAATAAAACGTTCAGAATTTGATTACTTTTCACTGTCAATATTTGCGCTAGCAGACTGGAATCCCCAGCACAGTCCAAAATGATCTGTTATAATGCAGATTATAACAAATAACTCCCCTGGATGTCCCAGCCTCCTGAAGTAATCGTCACATCCTGAAGTAGGCTCTGTTTTTGCAGTACTTAGCAGATAGTACAAGCACTATTGTGCAGTACTGCTTACACTGTCTCTGCCAAGGCCTCCATTTATTTCCTGCTGCTGAAAATGGGTGCTCTGCTTATGTGTATCTGTTAGCCCATAACATATCCGCATCGCAGACTAACAAGTAACTACTGGCTCTAATGAGCTTGGAAGCACTGAGGTAGGCAATGTTGCCCTTACTGTGTGCAGGAACAGGATAACACTTCTGTATTAGTTGTAATTCTGTTGTGCTCATTACTTTAAGTAGGGCAGGCAGTACCCACAAAGCTTGTTGCGAGTGAAATGTTGAACAAGATCACACAGAAACACACTATTAAAGCTTAGGTTGTTTAGAGATCCCAAAGCTGTGCACTAACTCTCATTTCGAGTGGATGCACTTAGGATTCTACTTTGTTGGCTTGTAAATTTTTTGTCTGATCCAGTGTGCTGAAGCATATGTGGGAAAGAGAGATAACATTCTTCTTTGCTTATGTGATGAGAGAGTGAGGGGTAGTGGTAAAAGAGGTGTGCAGCAGGACCCCAGCAGAGAAACTGTTCTGCAGAGCTTTGCTCCTGCGTAGCCTGTATGATATGAAGGAGCTGACGAGGAGGCGTAAAGCAACTTTTTCAGTCAGTGTGACTGCAGTCAGCCGAACTTCTTTTGCATTGGTAAAAACAGTATTTGTATGAAGAAGCAAAGGCAGGAAGGGTGGAGGGGGAGAAGCAGAATTTGAAGCTCAGATGTTTTTTCTTCTTTGGAGATTGCTAAATAGTATGGTATAGCATTTGGCTTGTAGCAGGTTTGCCATTTTCCTACCTGAATCGGTGCTGTTTAGCATCTAGACCAGGGCAGAGGAGACATCTTGTCTCCTGTGCAGTGAAAGGCTTTGACCATTTCGTAAGTACTTCTTGTCTCAAACAGCTCACCAGCCCTGAACTGTGTTACTTTGAGGCTCAGGTCAGCAAGGGACAATGGTGGAAGACTGGAACAGCAGCAGACTTAGGTTTGTGATAAAGTGGGCACAAACAGAGCAGGCGGGATATCCACTGAATGCAAATATAACTACAAGGGAGAAAAATTAAGCATTTGCTGGTTGAGGAGAGTAGTGTGTTTTAGGACAAAATTTATGTGTGTACATCTGTCACAGAATCACAGAATGTTTGGGGTTGGAAGGGACCTCTGTGGGTCATCTAGTCCAACCCCCCTGCCGAAGCAGGGTCACCCAGAGCAGGCTGCACAGGACTGTATCCAGGCGGATCTTCACAGTGTTACGGTGGTATATGCAGTCCTGGATGTAGTCGGACTTCTATAAACCTGTAGGTTTTCCTTTATTAACATTGATGTAAGAAAAAACGTGATCTCAAATTGTGAGGTTCAGGCTGCCCGTTTGCATCTTAGCTCTGCTTCTCCCCAAAAGCCAGCTCCTACAGACTTGCATTCCATAAATATTTACTTCCACATGTGTCTGTGAAACAGTTCTGTTTTGGTGGGCTTGTGTTAGTTATGGATGTGGCTCCCTGTTCATTTCTGACTGGGTTCTTTTGTTCCTACTCAGGAAAGATTGCATAAATATTGCATGTTGTATTTGAGGTTTCAGAATAACTCTTCAAAAAGCGCACAAAAAAATGGTACTTTACCTATTGTATTGTTTTGTACAGAAGTCCTAAAATTACCAAATTATTCAGCATTCTTGTTAAATACCTTATGTTTATTTCTGTCATATTTCTCACTCTCTTTTACTCGTCTCTCTACCTTTGATTCTTTTCTTGTCTCACTTTTGCCTGCCTTCGAACTGACTCATAGCAGTGGTGTGTACTGCCTGAGTGGCCACCCTCTGTGATTCTGAGCCGTGCTTCAGTTTGTCCTATCTGAATGTATCTCCTCAAATGGCTGC